AACTTTTTTTCTCAAACAAGGGTAACTTCAGACAGAAAGTCAATGGGGAGCCAAATTTGGGATTTAAATGAAAGTTTGTACTTTTTTACGAGACAAAAAAAGTTCGGGCCAGAATTGTCCATCGACCTAAAGTTGGTACTTTTTTATGGGACAAAAAAGAGTTTGGGCCAGAATTGTCTCTCGATCTAAAGTTGGTGCTTTTTTTTTGGAATTAACCCTTAAATTAATTGGAAGTTAGGGCCGAGGAAGACTAGAAATTGGAGCTATTGAAGGTCTGGGGCTGCTGTGAGTCAGTATTGGGGCTGCTGCGAGTTAAAGTTATCCTCCTTATTTGAAAAGATAACATAAGGATTGATAATTGGTGTTCATGTGTCATTTCTGAGTTTAGTAACCATGGCATGTCGTGTCATTAGAAAAAACTACCGTATTTTGTCTTACGTACGTCAAATTCGTGTCGATTCATGTCGAACACGTGGGAGAGATAACGGCGAGAATAGATAGACTATTGACGGATATTAAATTCGTAACGATCATAAATTGTTACGTATTTTATTCTTCGAAATGTTCGAAAATTAACGTTAAATTCACAACAAAGCTATGTACTCGTTTCATGCTTTTGAAAGTTTGTGTTGATTTTAGCAACAATGGCTAAAGACTGTATATTTTTTCTGCTAGTTGGCCCGAAATTATACGCACATATATCTTCCTCATTTATTTCTATTTCCGGATAAGGAATAAAAAGGATCCCATTTATTTTGTTCCGACCTTTACTGATTTATTGCCGGCAAAGAAGAGCCTCTCGAAAAATTCCATCTATTGCAAACCAACGGATGACTTCGTGGGGACCAGCAGAATGTCGTAGTAATGATCCGTAGATACTTCCAACATCTGGCACGCCCCAATTTGAGCAAGACTACCAAAGACCTGAAAATTTCTTCCTTTGCTTTTCTTCCTACCTTAAGTTTTTGGAGGCATACTAGACACTATCCGTTTGCACAATGGAAAACGGCACGGATTGAATGCGAGTTACAGAGAAAGAAATCCGAGTAATAAGACCCCGACCCGACACACCGGGACTTTATAAGTCGACACGAACCGACACGAGTGAACAGAGTTTTGGTCACGGTTCAATCATTAATTGGACATCTAGAATTGAAATTGATATACTCTAGGGCGACAGAGCAAACAATAGCTCAAATGAACTAATCCAGAGATATCACATTCTTTCTCGCTCTCATGCGGCACACACACACACTCAACCGCAACTACCCAGATCTAGGAAACCCTCGTTCGATTGTGGGCAAGGTTCAGCCACCCTCACCACCGCTACAGGGACAAAGAACCTCGCCACCGTTGCTCGATTATCTCTATCAAATCCTCTCTTGATCCAATTGTCGACGAGGGTTGCTAAGCCCTCACCGGTGGCTTGGCGCTATCATCGTCGCCACCACACCCCACGGCCCCTACTACCCAATGTCCGCCCCCTCCCTCCAGTTTCTTATTTATTTATTTATTTATTTTTTATATTCCTTTTTCTATCCTTTTCATCCATGTCAACAATTGTTTGGGGCCAATGTGGTTCCGACATAATTGCTATTTAAGCACTTGAGGACCATGTTTAGCGAAAAAGAAAAAAAAAACACTCTATCACCATTGGACCGTCACATCGGCATTTCTGTCAAAGCATATGACGGAAGGACTAGATGTTGCACAAATCGAAAAGTTCAAGGATGCTCATACCAGTATCCATAAAAAACAGAAAAAAATTGGTGGATATCTAGCTAGCTTCATATTGTGGAGGGCAAGAATTATGTTCTTTTCATCGTTCTTTATTTTGCTAAAGTTCGCTAAATAATAACCAATTATCTTCGTATCGGTTATATATAATCTTATGTTAGTAAAATATCTTAATTTGGCCGTCAATTGATTTATTCCGAAATCTTTCGGTAAATTCACATAATGTTATGATTAGATCATTGTGTCGTATCAAACATCGGACCCTTCACATAATTAGCCGCACATTATGCTGTTGTGAGACAAGAAATATCCAAGGTTGGTCCGTGCATTTATTCTCCCATCTCTTCATATATTGATTTCTTTTTTTCCTCTTTTTTCAGGTGATAGGCAAATTCCAATTCTTATTTAGGCTCCGTTTCGTGGAAAATGTCACGTTTCTGGAAAATATAAGCCATTTTCTAACAAAAATTATAATATTTTCTGGTGTTCGGCTGAAACATGAGAAAGATCTGGTAAATATTTTCCATCGATTGGTGAGGAAAATTAATTAATACGTTACTTTTAATAATTTTTTTATTTTTTAAAATCGATTTTTTAATTATCTTTTTTATTTTATTTTATTTTCTTTCTTTTGTTTTATACCTTCTTCTCCGGTCGATCGCTGGTCACGGCGAAGGCCGGCGACCGACCACAAGTGTCTTCAGAGGACAGCGAGGCTTGGGCCTCGCCAGATCGGCGACGCTCGAGCATCGCAGAGGGCAGCGAGGCTCAGGCGTTGCCAAATCGGCGACGCTCCAAAGGGCGGCAAGGCTAGAGGTCGGTGAGTGACCTCTCGAGTGGCGAGGCCCGAGCTCGCCACCCTCTGGCAATGCTCGAGCATCGCCGATCTGGCGAGTTCAAGCTTGACTATGGCTAATCACTGGCCATGGAGAAGAAGGTAAAAAAAAAAAGAAAGAAAAGAAAAAACATAATAAAAATAATCGATTTTAAAAAAATAAATAATTATAATAATTAAAATGAATGGTGAAAGAAGAAGTAGGGAAGGGAAAATGATTTCCTCTTCTTGAAAACATTTTCCTCACTTTTGAATGTGTTTTTTCCATTGAGAGAAAATGTTTTCTATTTTTTTTTGTTGAAGGAAAATATTTTCCATGAGTAGTTTATTTTCCACGAAACGAAAAAAATTAACGGATCGTAAATGTGTGGCGCGAGTCTAAGTTTGGAAATTTCGGTGTCATAAAAAAAGTAATGCATCACATAAATACAAATTTGAGATTTTTTGTATCACAAAACAATTTGAGGTAAATATATCACATGGGCATATGTTTGGAGTAAGTTTTTTATGTCGCAAAAAAAGAGAGTTTTGGAATAAATACCTTACGGTAGATATAATTTGTAGTTCTTTTGTGACTTTTTACCCGTTAAAATGCAACTACGTATTGTTTTTTTTTTTGGGGTCAAATTAGGCTATGTTTGATTGTCTAATATTCTAGTCAGAATAGGATCAGAAAGGACGCGATATATCCAGTAAATTTGATGTGAAAGTAAAAGGGCTAATACCATAAAAAAAAATCTCAAATCGGTTAACAAATTTATCCCAAACTAATTTTTTGATCACAAAAAACTCCAAACCAATACACCTATGACAAATTTACCTTCCGTTAAATTGGATTAATATCACGAAAAATCACAAATCGATAAACATGTGATAAAAAAACAGGTAAAACCCCAAACCGGTACACTCGTCAACTACCACGTGTCATCCAACTCTACAATTTAGCGGTAAAATTCAACGGAAACTATCGAAGGGAAATTTTTTTTTACAGGTGTACCGGTTTGGGGTTGTGTACTAATTAGGAGTTTTTCATGGCATTAACAACAACAACAAAAACGGGGAAATTATCAAATAAGGATCCAAAGTAGGTGCCTTTTTCAAAAGAGGATCTCAAGTGAACAAGGTATCAATTAAGGACCCAAAGTGCCAAACTAGTATTAAATAAGGACCTGAGCTCGCCAGGCGGCCAAATGTTCCCCGGCCAGCAACCGGCCGACATTTCCGGCACCATAATAGGGGCAATTTTGTCCAATTTTTTTTTCTTTTCTTTTCTTCTTCCCCGGTCGCCGGTCCGGCAACCGGCGACCGGGCCAGAGCTGAGGCCGGCGAGAGCTCGAGCTCGCCGGCCATCTGGGCGAGCTCCGCCCAGATCTGGGGGAGCTCGAGCTCGCCGGCCATGGCGAGCTCCGCCCAGATCTGGGCGAGCTCGAGCTCGCCGGCCTCGCCCGGATCGCGTAGTCGAGGGCCTTGGCGGGGCCGTTGCCGGAGGCGATGGTGTCGCGCGCGAGCTTGAGGAGGAAGGGCCCGAGATCCGGGTTGTCGGCCGTATCCCGGGCGAGGGGGTGTGGAGAAGCCGGGGACTCCGGCGGGGGCTTAGGTGGGGAGAACTTGGAGCGGGAAGGGGAGGGGAGGGTGCCATGGCGGCGAGCTCGAGCTCGGCCGAGGCCGGCGGGAGCTCGAGCTCGCCGGCCATTTAGGCGAGCTCGGCGGCGAGCTGCGCCCGAGATACGGGCGAGCTCGCCCTCGCCGGCCGCACGACCATGGCGGCCGGCATGAGCTCGAGCTCGCCCAGATTTGGGCGGAGCTCGCCATGGCCGGCGAGCTCGAGCTCGCCCAAATCTGGGCAGAGCTCGCCGGCTGAGCTCGCCCAGATTGCCGGCAAGCTCGAGCCCTCGCCCTCCACTGGCGAGGGTCGCCCTCGCCCGCCCAGCCCAGTCGAGGGCGACCCTCGCCAGCGTCGGGCGAGGGCAACCTCCGCCTGAGGCTGGCGACCTCCACCGGCCCCGGCTATGGCCGACGGAGGAAAGAGAAAAAAAAAAAAAAAAGAAAAAGAAAATAAAACGAGATGAAATGAAATGTCTTTGGGATGTCGGAACGAAGCTCAGCTTCAGCCGGGCGAACCCAGGCCCTTACCTGAGACAAATTGAGTACTTCGGGCTCTTATTTGAGACTGATTGGGCACTTCAGATCCTTATTTGACACCATATTCACTTTGGGTCCTCTTTTGAGAAAAGAACCCCACTTGGGGTCCTTAATTGGAATTTTCCAAAAAAAACGCTATTCTTTTCTGTTTTTTTTCAAAAATTTAAAAAAAACTGGAAATAGGTAAATACTAGATAACTAAGATTTTTTTCTTTAAAAAGAACGATAAATAAATAAATAAAAGCAATAACGAGTAGTCATTGCCGACGAGAGCGTGCTGATTCATCCGTGTGTGTGTGAGAGAGAGAGAGCCGACGCGATTCACTCCTTCTCCTTCTTCTTCTCCAAGCCAAAGCCGACGTGGTAACGGAGGAGAGCGCTCCAATTGCGAAGCTCCTCCTCCCCGATCCTTGCACCCCGAAAACCTCCGCTCCTCGCGTCTCGGCTCGGCCGTCGGCGGCGGCGGAATCGATCGGCCGGGGACTGGCGATGGCGGACGGGGCGGGGCCGGCGGCGTCGGAGGAGTCGGCGAAGCGGATCGAGGACGAGGTGCGCCGGGCCGTCGAGCAGGCCAAGGAGCTCCAGGACATGGCCTCCTCCCTCAACGCCAGGACCTCCGGCGAGGAGCAGCTGATCGGGCAGCGTGCCGTCGCGCTCGATTCCACCGTCCGCCGCCTCCGATCCTCTATCGATTCGCAGCTCAATCTCAAGCTCTTGGATCCCAAGCTCGCCGAGAAGGCATCTCCTCTCTCTCTCTCTCTCTCTCTCTCTCTCTCTCTCTCTCTCTCTCTACCCCTCTCTCTCTCTCTTTGAAATCATAATTGTACGCTCTCGGTTGATTGTGGCGAGTATTGTCGTCGTCGTACGCGAGTGAGTTATGATCGGAAATGGTGTCGCATGCAGCTAGAAGAGGAGTTGCAGAGAGCGAGGTGTATTATGGTCGATGGAGACGCCTCTGCTTTCTTTCCTTCTAAACCTCAAGGCGAGTCCGCTTTTCTCCGTCCTTAATGTCCCTTTTTCGCAAATAAAAAAAAAAAAGAGAGAGAGAGAAAAGGAGAGTTCTTTTGAAACTCGAAAGCCTGCTTGTGTCGGTGGAGGTGGTGGTTATGGTTGATAATGGTGCGCAGGGAGGTTCCTGCGGATGTTCCTGGGTCCAATCAATGTGCGCGCCTCGAAGAAAGATGTCCAGCTGAAGGTTAAGGAAGAGTACAACAGTTACAGAGTACGTGTCTTTTTTACCGGTTATGAATTCACATGATTTGGTGGGCTGTGTCGCTAGGGTGCTACTCGATAGAGTTGATTATCGATTCTTATGGATTTGTTTTCCAGTTTGGCAATCGATGAGAATACGTATATGTGTCCTCCCTTCTTTTGTTTTCTTATCCTTGCTGTGGTGCATGTACACTTTTTTTGGCCTTTTGAATGGTTATGGGTATAAAGCAATCCCTGTCTTGTGAACAACAAGCTGCTAATGGTGTCCCGCTGAACTTTTTTTTTTTTTCTCGCAAACGTCCGTTTCAGCTTACATGGCTGAAGGTAGTTTTACCTGCTTTATTGCTAGATGCGAATGCATTGGAATTTCTCTGGAGTAAACCTTCTCCTGACTTGCAAAGACCAAACTTGAAATGCCATTCTGTACCTTTGTCAAGGAATTTTTCCCGTTAAAGTTTCCCCCAAGCAAAACAACTTAGAAGCTGAAATGATTGATTTGTACCAACAGCAGTGGTGATGCCATCTACATTACCAAAGTAATATTGGGTATGTGAATCAAATTTCTAGCTTGCAGCTAGGGACTTAATGGATTCCTCACATTTGTGAAATCATTTTATTCCCCATTTCTTACCCTTCTCATTATCTCAATGTTGTTCAAGGCTATGTGTGTGCAGCTCATTCAACCGAGATGGATTTCTATATCGATCAATCGTAGTTTTTTTCTTTTCATTTTACTACAGATGTAATGCCACACTATAGATGGCAAAAATTGGACCGTCACTCTAGCTTCGCATGTTAGAGCCTGCATTCCTTTGTAATTTTCATTTCATAATGACTGAGGTGATGGCAATCACAAAATATACGTAATTCTTTTGTTGTGTAGGTAAGATTCTTCAATCATGATGCATTCTACATTCCCAGATTCCCTATCCCTGTAAAGTCTATTATGTTTCTCGGAAAGCTCACTAAAAATATTGTTGTCTTGAAAATCTTATAAGGTCTATTCTTCATTGGGGTTGTGCCTATAAAATCCTCTTTTACAACAACATGCTAAGCTTTATCCTACTACACGGGTATATGGTTCTCACATAGTGTATGTGAATTACATCTGAAGCGAATGTGAATTAACTCATATTTGGAACCGGAACTTACACTGTTTCCTTGGAGCAGGATAGAACTGCCCTTCTGTTTCTTCTGTTCCCGGCAACCCTACTCGTGTTGAGATCTTGGATCTGGGATGGCTGCCTTCCAGCATTTCCTGTTCAGTTATACCAGGTATCCCTCAGTAGCATTTCCATGCTGATATGAAGTTTTTGTCAATGTTTGTAGTAGCGGAAGGTTTATAGTTTCTTTTAACCCGACCATATGGCTTAGGCATGGCTTTTGGTCCTGTACACTGGTTTGGCGTTCCGGGAAAACATACTGAGAGTGAATGGAAGCGATATTCGTCCATGGTAAGTGAATTCATATATACACTATGCTGACCTGTATTCTACAACCTGATGTCCTCTGCAAAATTTAGGCTGCTTATGTAGTTGGTTTTCACTAACTTGAGCTCTTAGGCCCTAGTCTAATTTTCTAAGATCCAACAATCCAGTGGCCTAGTGTAAACAATTTAGTGAATTTTATGATCAGTCATATTTACTTTTTCTCCAAGTTTGTGCTGTTACTGAGCAGTTGGAGATTTTCATACATCTAGCTGTATCTGGAAGTTGAGTTGGAGGAATCAATGCTGTTTGAAATCAATTAAGTTGGTTCTCGAACATGACATTTCGCTTGTGCGGTTCATGAGATCCTGCTGCTCAAATAAATTATTATTGGACCCTGATAATTAGTGTTCTCTTAAATCATGCATATAGTCTCTGGCTAAATTGAAAGTCAGTTTTACGAGTAAATATCAGATTAAAAAAGAAACTTAGCATATTTTCAATGGCTTGCAAAGATCTTGACTATTCATCCATCACGCGACTACCTCCAGACATTAAAGGTCAAATTCGTCATTTTGGATTTTCTTCTCTCGCTCATTAGTATTTAGACGCACCAGTTCTCTATATGCAAGAATTTGAACTACAACTAAGATTATTGGGGTGAAAAAAATGCGAGGAAGCTGGCATGCAGTATATGCACAAGTCACTGTGTGAAGGTATGTAAGTTATTTTGGATTTTGTGTAGAGTTTGGACACACCAACACTTTCTACTACGAATCGGGTTTTCATGGTAAAACAAAAGTAGAATAATTACTGGCATATGAAATCTGACTTATTAGAGTGCATGTGTGATCCCAGAAAAATAAGAAAGTCATCTGGCTCTACCCACCTCATGGGTCTCAATGTGAATTTTCTCCACAAGCCAACTTCAAGAAGATAGCTTCAACAATGCTCTTGAATCCTGACACTCAATTTTAAGAGTGGTAAGTTTAGAAACGATAAAAAATTAGCAGCCTTTGAAGTTCTGTGCCATGAAATCATACCACAGGCACAGCGCCCAGTGTGCTTGCTTGAACCTTCGATATGGTTCGGGGAAAGGGTCTGGAACTTTGGGTGCATATGTTTCGCGGAAAATTCAAGATTTGGAAAACATTTTCCAAAAATTATTTGGTTATACCGCTTCCAGAAATGAATGACTGAAAAATATTATCGTCATTCGAGGAAATAATTAGGCATGAATTGTTATTGATAAAGAAAACATTTTCCATTGACTAATTTTTTTTAAGCAATATAACCAATCATTTTTCGCAATCTTGAGTTTTCCGTCAAACAAGTGCACCCTTCGTTGGCATATCAATTTGTAGTATCTGAGTTGGACTTTCTGTTCTAAAGTCTCTGAATGGAATTCACCGGCTCGTATCTTTTCTCACGCACTGTCACTGCACACATCTATGCTAAAATACGCTACTTAAGAGATCTTGTAAACTTAACTGGAGATGAAATTTCATTTCTAAGTTTCATTGACTTTTCACTGTGTAGTCATACACTGAAGCATATGTAGAAACATGTTACCACTACTCCAATGTTATGTAAGCTTTCAAGAGTTTTGCTAATATAAGCGGAAAGGTTGGGGAGAGGCCAAGCATATTCATCTAGATGGGAACTGTAATATTGATAAAAAAGAATTGTCATTGCTAGCTATTTCCAAGATAGTGAACTAACTGCCAATTTCCAAGAGAGTGAACTAACTACTTTTTTTGAACTAAAGAATCAGAGTCACAACCTTTTCCTTGCATTATATTTACTGCTGGACATGGAGCTTTCTTTCAATATGTGGAAATGATAGTTCATAAGTACCCATTAGCGATATCCCTATTGTTGCTCGTGGTTTTTGAAATCCCTCCTTCATATATTCAGTCTCATCTGTGAAGCCCTTGACTGCTATGTTTCGACTTGATCTCATTTGCTTATTCCATATCGAATTTGCTCTTCCGTGGTTGTTAGATCTAGTCAGATCCTGTTTCTTTAAGAACTTTGTTCATCCCCTTATACTGGTCAGCGATTTTCTTGTCTTGTGCCGCCGTTTGGATCAACCATTTCTTTTGGCCATATATTGGCACTACTTAAAAAAACCCGGAACTTCTGTTGTTTAAATGCTAATCTGTTATAAGGCACTAGTAGTCAAAGGAGTCTTCTATGTTATTTTACCAGTCTGTGTTATGCCCTTTACTGTGTCGTGCCGATAATTGTTCAAGAAAGATAATAAGGCTTTGAAGAGCTACATTAACTTTGTCAAGCATGCATGCTGGAGGATGTTGAGTACTATAGCTGGACAAGCTTAAGTACATGAACTCATAACGGAGGTGTGATCTCAAGTGCATCTTTAAAATGCGGGATGGGTAGGGGGAAAGCCTAATAATACATGGACGGAATATTTGGGATTGATCTCGAGTATGTAAATTTTATGGATAATTTGTTCTAAATAGGACGTGGAGGTGTAAAAAAAATGGCGAACTTTTAGCCCACTTAGTGGGAGAAAGCATGATTGCTTGATTGATCTCTTTATTGCTGTGATTTTAAACTTAAGACCTGACGATTTATACTTTGTTTCCTCAGCTTTATACTGACTTTTTCTTCCATTATATGGAAGTAACCTTACATAAAGTTTGGTCTAATCTTTGCTTGGGCCAAGTGCTTCTCTATTAGCATATGTGCTACTGTGCTTTCTCATGCACAATTGTGTTTGCACGCTGTCTTTCGTTTTCCCCTTTTGATGGTGGTGTGATGGTTGCATGGAAAAGCTTGGCATGTGTGTAATAAGCTCGGTAATGGAGTGCCTTTTGCAAAGCTAAGAAAGATTATTTGGCAGGTGGATATACCATCACTATTTCGCCATGATAATGGCGCTTGTCAGCTTGACATGGGAAATTAAAGGACAACCAAATTGTTCTCAAAAGCAGGTTAATTTCGTTTCATTATAAAATGCTTCAAATTTGATCTCTGAGTTTTGGATGATCAGTTTGAATCTATTGCAGAGGGGAGTGCAACTTTTCCTACAATGGGCCATACTGCAAGGAGTGGCAATGCTTCTACAGAATAGATACCAACGTCAAAGACTATATACTCGTATTGCAATGGGAAAGGTGCTTAAATACAAATATAATCTTTGTTGTTGTCTACCATTTCTTCATAAATTGTCTGTTGGAAGTATTTTGTGTTTTGGTTTTTCACTTGCTTGTCCATGATTATTATCTTGAGTGCAATAGCTAATGTTTTAACAATTGATTCAGGCTAAGAGAATGGACGTTGTTTGGGGAGAAACAGCAGGTGTGGAAGGCCAGTTGTGGCTTCTGTGTCCCATACTTTTCATATTGCAGGTCAGACATGCATCTGATGAGCAAAGGACCTTGCAGATAGCAGCTCTTTGTTCATTTCAATAAAGCTATAAATTGTTGTTCAACCTTTGAGCTATAAATGGAATGTCATGTTGAAACTCTTCCTGCGTGGAGGAAAACGAGCTTAAGAACCTGAAAGTTCTGTACTGATAGGATGATCTATCCTAGGGCTACATTGGCAGTTAAGATATGAAGCCCGGATAGGATGATTTTACTGTATTAGTCGATGTTGCCACAACGACTCTCTCTCTCTCTCTCACACGCACCCACACATAAAAGCATTTTGACACCCACACATAAAAGCATTTTGACTAGAACATTTGGCCTTCTCTGAAAATTGAAATGGCAGATATATGCTTAATAAATGCTTAATAAATGACTCGTGCTTCTTCTGGACTGTACTTCAGGGTTTCGAGGCATATGTTGGGTTTTTGCTGCTCAGAACTGCTTTCGTTGGCGTGGCTTCTGAATGGCAGGTGCGTGATGCATTTGATGCTTGTTAACGATTGGTATTTTTTCCTTCATTCGATCACAACCATTTCGGAATAGATTGAGCCACTTTTCACAGAAATCGAGCACCTACAACCTGGTTTTGGCAGGTCATATTCTGCGGGATGCTCTTGGTGATAATGGCGGTTGGCAACTTTGTGAATACAGTACAGACGCTCATGACGAAGTCGAGGTTTAAGGCAAAGATGAAAAGAACAAAGAGCAAGCAGTACTTGGACTAGGCACAATCCCTAACTCCTAGCTAGCTTAGATTATGAATCTCTTTTATGTCTTAGAAATTCCATAGCCTCTCATTTTTGAGTCTCTCCTGTTTCTAGATTCCCATTTTACCCCCCACAAATTTTTCTTTTGTTTTCCCCTTTTTTGCTTGTGTGATGACTGTCGATGCTAATGCAAGGCCATGGAAATATGTCCAGCCTCTTAAATGTTTTCTTTATCCTCAACTACCAGTTACGCGAAGTTCTCATGTATCTTTTTTTGCCAGATAAGAAGTATTTTGGAAATTTCGATGTGTTTGAACAGGATCTGAGAGACTTTGCCAGAACGGGGGGCAGGCTTCTTAATTGCCGTACCGCCGTGGGAAGTATAATTGCACAGTTGATATGACCAGGGATCTAATCTAAGCCATGCGTGCACGATACCTTCCCCCATGATTAGCGGGGTTGGATTCCTCCTCCCCTCTCGATCTTGATGATTAGATAATAATTGCCATTTGGGAGCAAATCCCATGGGCGTCAATGTTCTCCACTTCCCAAGGCACAAGCTAAGCCATACTTTTTTTTTTGTGATTATTATCAGGTGCACCGACGGTCCAAAAAAAAAACTATTTTTAAGCTCTCCACCAATTGTATAAAAACAAGGATTCTCTGGAATAGTTATGTAACGGGTTAACCATCCAAAAGGTGAACGTGTAAATCTGCTTTTAATTAACAAAAGCTTGTGGTCTTCTTATCCCTTCGTTCCTAAGCAACATCCAGAGATACAACGTCGTACTCTGGAAGAAACGATGATAATCGATAAGTATTGTGGCCGGGGGTGGGGGGTAGGGGGTATCAAAGAAGGCGTGAGGACCACACCAAGCCATTCTCTTCCTTTTGACACTCGGTAAAAAAGAATTTGCAATTTGCAAAAATTTTTGAACCACCCCAGGTGGGTAGCTGGTTCTGGGCCCCTTCCCAATTTATTTTCCCCTCTTAATTTGTCGCCGGCAAAGGACAATAATTCAGCTATGTCAACAACTTAAATGTCCAATTCCCATCTCGAAAATCAAATCAAACCCAAAAGAAATCTTGATCATACGAATCATCTACTTGTCCATTGTTAATGCGCGCCACAATACATGGTCCGAATATTTAATGTTTGCTCGCACCGAACGGCATCTTTTGCCCCCCCCTACAAAACCGTGTCGCCGTACTCATTCTCTCATCCCCTTATTTCATACTTTTCATTCTCCTGCTAAAGCTTGATTATTATAAGAAACCCGCGGACATCTGGGTGTGCACGAATTCCAGTGCGTATTAAGTGACGAGAGAAGCCGATGCAACCATTATAGCCTATGATCGAACTGAGGTGTGAATGTGAAGATACTCGGTGTTGAATCTATTATCGCCTCCGAATTACATCGTTAGATCATGAGTTACTTCCGTTAAAACATGCATTTGGAAGAAAGAGGTCGAAATTTCGACGAGAAGATTTTAAATCAAACGACTGATTTTGCCCGGCCTGATGAAATGCTCGCCATTGCACTCGATCGGGTAGAAATAGTTCGGGTTTTGGATTTACTTTGTTGATGTGGAAAAATGTTTCATTGCAAAGTTCCGGAGAGAGGTCAAAATAGTTGTCTTTTATTTTATTAGCTCGGTTGGATAGAGAGGAGAGACGTGTTTAGGAGATCTAATTGGAATAACTTCTAAATACCTCCACAATTGCGATTTAGAAATGATTTAGTGACTCGAAGGTACCTAAAAAAAGCTGATCATTTTGTAAATTCCCTTCGTCACGATCCATTTTTCTGTTTCGTTACTCGTACGTTCATCCTTCCCGTTATCGCGCACAAAACGCAAGTATAAGTCGATTACAATTCGATCCACACGCTCGGATTTACGCATGAAATGGACTAGAACTCAATTAGTTGACACAACTTAATTCGATTGGAAAAAGGTAATGATCAATCTCAAGCACGCATCTTCCACCCTATATCTCCACGACAATGCCAAATACCGTGATCACCACCCCGATTTTCAGCTCGTGGGCTGCATCAACAATTCAAGAAACCACAAAACCCGCATTGAATGCCACACTAAAAAAAAAGTAAGATGAATCCCCAAATTCACAATCATACACCCCGATCCATCGCGTTAACGGTACAACTATACCACGCCCATAATATATGTTAGAGATATTCATAATTTTCTCTATAGTTATGTTGATTCCCCGTATCTCTCAAAACCATATGATATCTCTAGCATTATCTAATCCAATACCAGATGAGCAAGACCTACGAGATGCGAAAAACAGGAACCCTCGTCATCATCACGTGGCCTCTCCAAACCCATCATGATAAACACTGTAGGTTTGCACACCAAAGCGAAAACAAAAGAAGAAGGATTAGTCTATGATATATACTCACATGGCCTTCGTGATCATGCTGTAATTAAATTTTTTTTTTCATTTTTCCTTTTGCCCCCTAACTTTTTGATGCATCTTGCGTTAGTGGGACAAGCAAAAGGGTCTCATACACATGTATACTCCAATTCAACACCTGTTCCTGAATTTCCAAGTTAAGCATAATTTTCTTGGCTGTGGGAGATCAGCAAGTGTGGCATGTGCATACCCACCATTCTCTCTCTCCGCCATTACCATCCCTTCCTCTTTACTGCTAAAACACCATTATTATAACAAAGCAAGTCACCAAATTAAACTAATCAGTAGATCAAAAGTGTACAGCCTGGGACCGTACCTACATAGATATTTTTTAAAAAATACCAACCATTTTGCTCTACCCCCCCATGTGCTCCAGACATCTTATACGTGTATAACTCAATTTAAAAAGGGGACAAAAAAAAGAAAGAGAAAAGGTGGGAACTAACCCTAAGGTGACAGCAGAAATTATGACAAGGCCCACATGGGGATGGCTTCATGTGCATAATTTAAAAGAATATTATGTATTTTTTCTCCATGAAAGTACCCCCCAAAGAAAGGAAAAAAGAGAGGTTATGGGAGGTTAGATGTCATTCACACTCTCTTGTTGTGTGAGAGATTAAAGAAGGGAACAAAAGTGAGAGAGAAAGGCAAAAAATGAGCTTGTGAGGGTGGGCAGAGAGAGGCACATGGTAGGGCATCTCCTTGGAATTGATAGGTTTGAGGTTCTTGTTGGAGAGGACTGTGCCCATGGGGAAACCCCCCCCCCCCATCTTTTTTGCCTAGTTGGCACAGTCGATGTTGCTGCAAGTTGGAGATGATATTCATGGAAAAAGAAAGAGGGGGAGGAAAAAGAATATGTACAATTGAAAAATAATACGTGCAGTTGTCGAGATTTGACGAGCTACTTGTTAGAACTGTTAAAAGCGGGCATATACGATGGCCGTCTAGCAATTATGTCGTGTTCCGTCCGCACCTGATCCGCGTGAGTCGAAGTGGATCTAGTCGATTCAACTTGATAGAGCCAGTTGCCCCATCAGATCTAATTTGCACAAGGACCGTCATTTAACCATTCAGACGGAGTTTGGATTAGCTATGCATCTTCCACTTTTTCCTCGTACCGTGTCTTTCCATCAGTTGCGGAGCTGATGATAATATTTCTTATCAAATTGCACCTGATAATTATCCTTTCTAGAGTATATCGGCACAAAAATCATATGAAATATCATTCGATCCCCTGCTGATATGCAAAATAAATTTCCCTATACAGTTCTAGCATATTGGATTTGTGTACGTATCCCACCAATCTTAGTGTAATTGCACCGCAAGTCATGCTAAAGCTAATGAGAACTGATTCATCCGACGGGATATTGCAAAATTCGAGAGAGAATTCGTCCAGCATCGGACAGACAATTAACCGATTCATGGTACTAATCAGCAAGTTAGCAATTGCTATCGTTTCTGTTATGATCTTGTTACGTACAAGACACAGAAAGACGACACTTTCTGCCCGAAAAAACAGGATCAAAACATGGCTGATGCATGTCACATTAAAACTCTTTCGACCCAGAGAACATTTCGTAGAAGGCAGGGAAGGACAGCGTTGGCTTTCACATGTTAATCAAAGAATAATCGAAATTCATATCATCCGTATGCATTTCCTTTCTTCGAAATACCTAATCACATGGCAAAAAATTCGTGGGATCGTCACCCTTTTATCAGATTCCGTTCATGCCTCCAACACGAAATTCTAATCGGCTCGTCGTTAATTTCGTCGTGAGAAATTAAACCTTGGAATTATCTTTAGCCAAAATGAAATAAACAAAGTTATCAGATGATGACCCACTTGCTCATGAACTGGCTTCATGTTGCATATTATAATTACAAGGCAGATGGCGCCACTTTGACATAAGATCCTCCTGCATTATTAACTTAATCACTTCTTCAGCAGGTGAATAAACAAATGGGAATTCCTCCAAATGTAGAAACTCAAAAGATGAAGACAACCCAAGTTGATGAAAGAAACTGTTAAAGAAAGGGTTAAATTAATTAACATGGACAATGAGAGTTATTATACAATTGCAATAAATCAAAAGTGAGATGAAAAAAAAAACAACAAAGACCCAGCTGCTTTTGAACTCATACAACCGAAGAAACGAGAGAGAATCCTAAGTGAAGCAATTATATCAAGCAGAAACGACCAAATGAGATCAACTTCTTCTTCTTCTTCTTCTTCTTCTTCTTCCATGTGCACTCTTCTTTCAAGTGGCTCTCTTTGAATTTCTTGTCTCTCTCACCTCTTCAAGAATTGAATGCTGCTTTCTCTTGGCAAGCTTTATTCTCCTCCTTTCTCGATACCAAGTTTCCCTTCCACTTTGCCCTCCCAAGTTGCTACATTTTATTCACCAAATGAATCGAACGAATCGGGGAGACACGGGGGCGCGGTGGAAACCGACAGTGCCTTCGAAGAACTCCGCCACAAAAATTGCTCTCGTGATTTTTCTACCAAAGAAGACAGGCGATGAAGAAGGGTGGTGTGTTTTTGGAGGGGAAGAAGAATGAGAAAGGGATGGAAATTAAGAAGGGGAAAAGATAAAAAGAAGGAACAATAATGTTAAAATTTATTAGGCTTTGAGCTTAAAAATAATTTCGAAAGGTATGTTTTAAAAAGAGCTTTTTTGAGCAGATACATGTGTGTATATGGTACAATCTTGCATGGTGGTGGATTCCACCACCACCACCACCAACTGCTGTCGCACCACCGGTAGAGGTCTCTATTGAACCATGGCTAGAAACGACGGCGCCTCGCTTCCTCCGCCGTTCGGGGGCGCTGTTGCGTTCGGCCTCTGGAATTCAATCTTATAGGCCATCTTCCTCTCCTCTTCCAATTCTTCATCCTCGTCGTTTTCTTCATCATCCTCTTCCAATTCATTTTCCTCCTGATCTTCGACGTTATCACTGTTACCTGCCTCCTCCTTTTTATCACTGTAATTACTGCTATTTACCGTTAAATGTTGTTGCTCCGAGTCCAAGTGTTCATTTTGATGTTGCCCTTGCCCTATGAGCTCTTTCACGGTGTCTTCTGGCTTCAAATCCCAAAAAAATTATCAGCCCTCTCACTGAACATGGATTGAATCAACCATAAACGTAAAATTTTTCAACTAAACTGTATACCCTTTTCATAATTCGATCATAAATGATGGAATTAGACATGGACACTTCTCACTTTTTATACAAGAAAATGTTACCTTCTTAAGTGATCCTCCGTTTCCTTCTTCAACTATCCTCTCTTGTGCACCCGAATTGCCGCCACCATCTTTACGTTCGGGCTCACTCGCCTGCGCCTGCGGCGGCGGCGGCGGCGGTGGATCCTGAGCGATTACCGGACGAGCATCCAAGTTCGCCGTACTCGGAGACAGCTCGGCCCTAAACCCTGCGGACCCGGAGGTGGCAGCTGCGCCGCTGGTTGTGCCACCACCGCCGAGTACCTTCCTCCTGTAAAGGGCATCGAGCTCGTGGAAGTACGGGCAGGTCTTGGCATCCTCGGGCCGCTTCTTGTTGCTCTCCTTCACCTTCTTGAAGTACTTGTTGATGTTCTCCCACTTCTCCTTGCACCTCTTGGCGCTCCTCTTGTACCCCATCCTCGCCATGCCAGCAGAGATTTCCTCCCACAGCTGCCCCTTAGGGCCAGCCTCTTGATACCTCGACTCAAGCCCGCTCCGCAGCTTTATCAGTGCGAGCACTTCCACTTTCGGCCACCTCGAAGAGGATGATGGCTCCCCACCACTTCCGCCACTAAGGATGAGTTCTTGAGACTGTGGCGGCACTTGCTGCTCGGGGACAGCCATGATTATTTCGGTCGAAGCGGGCAGTGGATGCGTGACGACCCTGATGTTCTGTCGCTGCTGCTGCTGCGGTTGCTCTTGATACGTCGGAGGTGGTGGCATCGGCGGTTGTGGATGAGGAGCGGCATGGGTTGGTTGAACCTGTGGTTTGGGTGGCGGGGCCGGAGAGGGAAGGGGAACGCCAGTCGTCACAGTCGCTGGCGTTGTTGGCAGATGGATCTTCTGACCTGTGATCTTCTGCAAGAATGAGACGATGGCTGCATCCCTCGAGGCGGAGGCGGCGCGCTCCTGGGCCGCGATCTCGTGCTCCCGGGCCAGCCTGGCCATCTCCTGCCGCCGCCACGCCTCCTCTCTTATCATCCGATCCTGTTCCCTCTTCTCTATGGCCTCCAAGAACCTCTTCTGCATCTCCTCCTGCTTCTGCATCACCTGCTTCATCAGTCCCTCGAAGAGCTCCATCATCCTACGGTGGTTCCCACCGCCGCTGCCGCTCGTCTCGCCCGGCCCCCTCTTCCGCTTGCGGCTACTGCCCGTGGTGGACGGCTCGCCTTCCTCTTCATCCTCCTCGTCATCGTCCTCGTCCTCCGATCTGCCAGACGAGGATGAACTGTTTGACGAGAAGATCAATCCCATCGGGCTAGCCAACACCGCGGGTGGGGCTGCCAGCCCGGGTGCTGTGGTGGGTGCAAATATGTGGTGGGTATGGGGCGGGTGAGGCGTCAAGACGGAAGGCTGGACGCGGAGGGAGGAGATTGGGACGGGGTTGGCGAACGATATCCCGATTGAAACCGGGGGCACCGAGAGACCGCCCGGGGCTGCAGCGACAGCGGCAGCACCACCACCCGGAGCTGGCGACATTCCGACAGTGGCGGCGGCGGTGCTGTGGAGGGCTTCGAGCTCGGAGAAGAACTTGTAGGTCTTGCCGTCTTGACGACCAGCACGGCCTTCTTTGGTCCTTTTATAGTACTTGTGGACGTTCTCGAACTTCTCTTTGCATTTCTTGGCACTTCTTCTGTATCCGAGTTCACCTAGCTTTCTGCAACCAAAATTATATAAATAAACATAAAAACAAAAAATTTGCTTAACGAATCTCTCTCTCCTGAGATTGATGTCATGCATGAGATCAAAATCCCAGATCAAGGCTTGTAATCTCCGTATTGTCAAGTAGCAGACAACAACTAGGAGATCATATGAACCCCACCCCCCCCCCCCCCCCCTCAAAAAAAAAAAAAAAAGAAAGAAAGAAAAAAGCTGAGAGGATGGAGGGAGGGAAAGATAGAGATATGAGATGAGACACGTCCAAATGCAAAAATAGTGACCCAACTTGATGACAACTTAGCCCACTGCTAGCCATTAACAACAACTCGAGTGTCGCTATTATTATTGTATAATTGGAAAGTGCGGTACTAAACAAAGAACCTGGAGAAGGGGTTTGGGGGGGAAAAGCGTGTGAGAAAAAATGGCTGAAATTTGGGGGAGAATTGTTCTCGGGATTTTCAGTATTTTGGAAGAGGGGGGGGGAGGGGGAGGAGGGAGGTGGTACAGATCGAGATGCTTTTCACAACCACATGTAAAATAAGAATTCTCGAAAAGAGGAGAGAGAGTGAGGAGGAGCCAAAGGGATTGGTCCAGAGCTCATGCACTTGATTTGGCCTTATTTCTAAATTTGGAGAAAGTTTTAAACCCACCCAAAAAGAAATCTCTCGAGATCGAGAGGAGGAAGACATAAGAAAGATGCCCAGATGACCCCAACAACTCGTGAGTCAGTGTTGGAGAGAGAGAGAGAGAGAGAGAGAGAGAGAGAGAGAGAGAGAGAGAGAGAGAGAACCATGTGCTCTCGTACCCACAGAAGAGGTGGAGAAGACAGAAGAGAGAGAGAGATAGAAGACACCCCATCTGTGCACAAGCACTGGTTGGAATTGCTTCGAGTGATAATCATCTGTGGAGGATTGAAGGAGTGAAGGGAGGAAAGATTAGCTGGGTTCCGTTTAAAGATCGAAATGAGATGGTTATGTTTTGATAATGATATTATGATGATGATGATGATGATGATTGTTGTCATTTTCATTGGAGCAATGAGGGGCGTTTACTACATGATTTCCAGCAAATTTAAGTCCCGAGGAAATTCGATTCAATTCAATGTAAAACTTTTTTACCTGGAGACATCTTCCCAGAGTGGACCCTTGAGTGTGGCGTCCCGGAACGCTGCGTCCATCTCGGACCTGATCCTGAGGAGCGCCAGCGTCTCCTGCCGCGG